GAATAAATCCACAATGATCAGTTAAATATTTTTAATGTTCCACTGACGCATTACTAGTTAAAACCTCTTTTTTGATGAGATTGATGATAGAAACTTTTAGTTGCAATTACATTTTTTTGTACACTTAACATATTGCTGAACACACAGGGCAATATTACAGGTGAATTGAAAAAGACCTCCTTCATCATAAATATATTCCGATTTAGTAGATTTCTAATGTATCGGTAGCACTTGTCTTGAAGGGCATGATCAAAGAGGAGTTAGGTAGTGCTATCGTTTCACCTTGTAAAATCGCAGTATCCTGTTGGGATTTGTGATTATATCCTGAAAATTAGGAAACTAGGATCCACCCCCAGGAATACCATATTACATAAATAGTTATTCTCTTCACTTATTCGTGTAAAAATTATTAATCAGTGCCTAAAGCACACCTCTAGTGTTCCATTGTTCTTGAAACGTAATCGCTCGATAATTCATGAATCACCAGTATCTACTTATGAATAATTTGTTGCTAGGTTTTTTTGCATACTTGATTGTGAGTTATCAAATCGACTCCAACTTTATTCATTTTAACTTTATCTTACCTTCCCCTTTGTCACATGGCATCATCTATCTAAAACGCAACTGACTAGAGGGAAATTAATAAATATCACAACAAAATTATACACACCATATTACACCACCTGCAACCAACCATTTTCGCATCCCATATCATTATAAGCTTAGAATGAAGGAAAAAATTGGTATGACCAATTGACGGACAGAAAGAAGATATTTGGAGTTCCACAAAATCTGCAAGCCACAATAATGCAGACTCGTCCACCTCCTTTAAGACACGAGCCAACTCCAAAATCAGCCTCCCCCTCTATCGTTTCTCCCGAATCAATTGAACCTCAGCCTGAGCTCTTGAGTACACATACAGAGCCCATTGAAGGCGATGAAGTTTTATTAAAGACGACTGGATCTGGTGCAGAAGACTCGAACAAAATGAAAGACACGGCTGAAAGTCCAGATGTGGCGTCCAATATAGAAGTAGAAAAGATTGAGGCAGATGAAAAGTTAACAGAAGGGTCGCTACGATCTGAGGCAAAGATAGAATCACTAGAACCGGAATTGTCTGATCAACTTGCCGACGGAACAGTCTTCATTCTACTAGAGGGAACCAGCGAAGAGTTTGCTTTTTTCTTCCCAATCGAGCAGACATTAGCGATCGTGAAACCAGACGCCTACGCCAACAGAGAGGAAATAATCGAGAAGATCAAAGCAGCTGGTTTCCACATCGCTGTACGCCAAGAGACACACTTGACGCCGGAGATGGCGCGTGAAATATTTTCAGATATGCTGAACAAGCCCTTCATTAACGACTTAATCGCGCACATGTGCAGGTCAGATAGACACAAAACTATTTAAATATGTCTGAGATAACGAATATTGGTCGATTGTACTGGTTAATAGGCCTCGGAAATGAGAGTGAAAAAAAAATTCCTGGAGGGCTACTGTTAATTAGATGCTTTAGAAACTTAAGTGAAATCCCCAAAGTAGTAATTGGTAATGAATAATGATCCAACTTAATCTAAACTTAATTTTAAGTTCTATATAAATGGAATAATTTGCGAAGAAAAGTTGGATTTCGAGGGATCTCTTGCTTCATAATTGTTGTGCTTACTTCTATTTCGAGTGAAAGTGTTTGGTGAAGAGATTTGAAGGTTGATCCAACCAGAATACGACGGAGGATACCTCTCGACCAGCTGTAGATTGGCTCTATTGGAATATTTTTGTTGATGCCATTTCCTAGTTAATCTATTTCGATTCCGGTTATAATGTGCTAAGCTTTCGTCCGTCATATGGCGAATATCATCAGCGCAAAGTATCATCCTTACAATCAAATTCAAGCTAAAGAGTTAAGAAAACTCACCGAATCATCCTTAAAAAGCCGTATATATACTCTATATCTGAACTCTCTGATGAGGTATAAAGTGATTTGGTTCGTTCCAGTCATATGCCAACCTCGGAGCATGTAAGTGTGTCTGTCTGTATTTGTTCGCATATGTACGAAACCAGCATTGATTGCTCAAAATAACTAGGACAGCAAAAGTAACGTCTGTCCTCGGCCATCAAAGTTTGACGACCACCATTACCCTCTCTCTGTAGATAATTTAACCATCATTCCGATTGCGCACAGTCAGACACACGTCTGGTTATGCTTATGAGTCAATACTATTAGATTTAAAAAAATTATACTTCACATAATGTAGTTTATAGATGTTGTTTTCTTGGTAGGCGTCCAGGTTTACCTATTTCCACTAATAGGAAACTGGAACAGGTATCAAGTGGTTAGGTTAAGAATAGACATAAAGAATATATAGACAAATTACATGACCTGATTAGAACCCAAACAAGGAATATACAATATCTTTCTCTGCTATTTTCTCAAAAAAAGTTCTCAAATTACAGAATATGGCGGAAAGGATGGATAAGATTCATAGATTCCGGTATTACAAAAAAATTAGGAATATAGTTACATAAGCAAAATCATTCTATGGAGATACGGGTCGAATTAATTAACCCAACAGACAAGTTGCCAGAATAGGCTAAGAATATTATAGAAAGAGAAATTATCCCTCATTTTGAAAAGGTAATTATTCCAAAAAATCTTATGATTTGAATAAGATTTCTAGATATTTGCACCAAAACGATCTGTTTGTTTTGAAGGCAAAATAGTTGGTCATAATGGATAGGTTAAGTTATATAGAAAAAATTATGGCGGTTTTAAATGATCCAGAGGCATACAGACCTTTAGTGCAAGATTCCACAGAGTGTCTTAAGGCCAGACTTAAGGAATCGCTCAAGATTTGTATTAGCAGAGAAATTGAGAAGGGGAAAATGAATTCACTTCTTCAATGGATACTAGGTCATCTTCTGCTCATTGCCTTCTAAAGATACCTAAAGAGGGAGTCCCTTCAAGATTGATTGTTAATAATAAGGGAAGTGTGATGTATAGGATTTCATGATTCGTATGCAGAAAATTAATGAAAGTGGCTGAGTATTGGAAATATTCAGTGAAGAGTTCATATGAATTTGTTAAATTGATAGATC